TGTACAGCTCTGAGGAGGGGTCTCCTCCTCGTTTAGAGAGTTTATGCTTTGATGAAGACAGTAGTCTATTGTTTGCAGGAGACAGCTCATCTCCTTTGTCTAGTAAAGAAAGAAAAAATAAATTATTAAGAAAAGATATTCTCTCTTCTTTGAGGTTTAACCCGCAGCATATTTATACTATGGAATTCTCTCAAGTTCGTACATCATCACCCTTTTGCTGTCTCCTTTGTCTCTTCTTCTTCTGTCTCCTTTGTCTCTTCTTCTGTCTATTCATTTGTCTCCTTTGTCTCTTCTTCTTCTGTCTCTTCTTCTGTCTCTTCCTCTGTCTCTTCTTCTTCTGTCTCTTCTTCTGTCTTCCTTTTGTCTCTTCTTTTGTCTCTTCATTTGTCTCTTCCTCTGTCTCTTCTCCTGTCTCCTTCGTCTCTTCTTCTGTCTATACATTTGCCTCCTTTGTCTCTTCACCTGTCTCTTTTGTCTCTTCTTTTGTCTCTTCACTTGTCTCTTTTGTCTCCTCTTGTGTCTCCTCCTCTGTCTCCTCCATTGTCTCCTCCTCTGTCTTCTTCTGTATCTTATTTTGTCTCCTTTGTCTCTTCTTCTGTCTCCTCTGTCTCCTTTGTCTTTTCTTTTGTCTCTTCTTCTGTTTTCTTCTTTGTCTCCTTTTATGTCTTTCTCTGTCTCCTTTTGTCTCTTTCTTTGTCTCTTTATTTATTTTTTTTTGTCTGTCTCTTTATCTGTCTCCTTATGTCTTTCTTTATCTGTCTCCTTTTGTCTTTGTCTGTCTCCTTCTGTCTTTTTATTTGTCTCCTTTTGTCTTCTTATTCGTCTAAATTTCTTTTCGAGTATCGTATGGGGTTTGTCTGACGGCGAATTTAGGGTTTAGGGTTTAGGGTTTAGGGTTTGTGTGTGCAGAATTTCTTTTGGCCTTCAACTTATCAGTTTGATTTGGGTTTATTCTGCAAGTCTGTGTCTCCTCTATTAGACAGACAGCCGATAGAAATAATGTCGTTAGTAAATCCTCTTCTTATTGATATACCCGAGGGGTCTCCTCCGGATCTGTCTCCTTTGCAAGCAGCAGCAGCAGCAACGCAAGCAGCAGCAGCAGCAGCAGCAGAAGCAGCAGCAAGAAAAGGAAAAGCTAACTATAAACCCTATACTCTTCTACTGCCGCAAAACCCTAAAGACAAAATCTACCTGTGGAGGTTTCAGCTGCTGCACGAGCATCTGCTCGCTTAATACTCTTTGCTGCAGCAGCAGCAGCAGCAGCGGGAGCAGCAGCAGCGGGAGCAGCAGAAGCAGCAAAGTAATGATGCTCTTCTGGACGGGAGGAGGAGACAGAGGCAAGAGACAGTGTTTATACTTTTCTTCGTATCCTGGCTAGTAGCAGCACCAGCAGCAGCAGCAATTGCAGCAGCAATTGCAGCAATAGTACAGCAGCAGCAGCAGCAGCAGCAGTACAGCAGCAGCAGCAGCAGCAGCAGCTGTTGCATATATAGAGAGAAGAAAATTTGCTTTAGACTTTGATAGAGACAGAGATGTGCTGAGGTGTATGTACACCCCACAACCCTCTGCTGTTACTCGAATAAAATTTTTAAATTAAATTGCTAAGACAGACAAAAGGAGACAAAAGGAGACAGATAAAAACACAAAAAGAGATGGATAAGGAGACAAAAGGAAACAGATAAAGAGACAAAAGGAGACAGATGAAGAGAGAAAAGGAGACAGATAAAGAGACACAAAGAGACGGATAGAGAGACAAAAGGAGACAGATAGAAACAAGTTAGAGGTAGATAAAGACAAAGAGAGATAGTTGAAGACAAAAGGAGACAGATATATATATATATGTGTAAATATATATATATATATATATGTCTGTCTCCTTTTGTCTTTATATATGCATAAATATACATATACATATACAGACAGGAGGAGACAGATATAGAGACAAAAGGAGACAGATAGAAACAAGAGATAGATAAAGACAACAGAAGAGAGAAAAAGACAAAGCCAAACAAACAAGAAGCAGAAGAGACAAAGAGACAGACAAATAGAGACAAGGAGACGGACAAATAGAGACGAAGAGACAGACAAATAGAGACAAAGAGACAGACAAATAGAGACAAAGAGACAGAGAAAAGGAGAGAGAAGCAGAAAAAACAAAAAGATATAGCTCTAGCGAAACCCCTAATCAGGTGTATATACACCTCATGTTGTCGCAACCCTAAACTGTCTAAGAAACCCTAAACCCTAAACCCTAAACCTTAAACCCTAAACCCTAAACCCTAGCCATTCGAAACAAAACCCTAAACAGTGAAACCTCCTACTGAATGAATTCGCCTCTGGTGATAAGGCTTGTGGTTGGGGTTTAGGGTTTGGGCCCTCAAGCTGAGGGTTTAGGGTTTAGGGTTTAGGGTTTGCAAGCAGCAGCAAGACAAGCAAAGGAGTAAACTGTCTCGCTTGCAGTAGAAGGCGGCGGATACACGTGCTGGGACGCATTCTGTGG